CACAACTCACTTAACAGTGAGTATCGAAAGTGCTAAATAAAAAAATAATAATAAAATTACAACCAAAATAATTATGATATTATTTTTAACATTAAGATGGTGTATGTCTTGTTATAAACTGTCATTCAATGATGCTATCAATTCGTGATCACTTTCGACAGTGGAATCAACATGAAATCAAATTTTTCTGCGAAGCTCTGTGGGCATCTGTAAAACTATCGACCGTAGCTATGAGGCTGACGTGACATTAGAAATAAAAAAAAATAATAAAATTACAACTAAAATAATGATGATATTATTTTTAACATTAAGACGGTGTATGTCTTGTTATAAACTGTCATTCAATGATGCTATCAATTCGTGATCACTTTCGACAGTGGAATCAACATGAAGTCAAATTTTTCTGCGAAGCTTTGCGGGCATCTGTAAAACTATCGACCGTAGCTATGAGGCTGACGTGACATTAGAAAGGAAGTCTCTAGTCCGCAGTAGCATAACAATTTTTGGTACGTTCTTTAAATTCTGGAGCTCATCTTTCTTGAAAACAGCGAAATAAAATCCATTAGTCAATTATTTTAAGCTGGAAAATATCTGAAAAAAAATGAAAATAAGAAGAAAAATATATCAAATGCCCAATCAAAATCCTTGCTTTTGAATTGCTAAACATGCAATACGAGCCACCAAGCCCAAAGCCACCCATACATTCCATTCCAACAAAAATTGTAGTTACCTTGAAATTCTGGAGCTCATCTTTCTTGAAAACAGCAAAATAGAATTCATTAGTCAATTATTTTAAGCTGGAAACTATCTGAAAAAAAATGAAAATAAGAAGAAAAACATATCAAATGCCCAATCAAAATCCTTGCTTTTGAATTGCTAAACATGCAATACGAGCCACCAAGCCCAAAGCCACCCATACATTCCATTCCAACAAAAATTGTAGTTAATCCAACAAGAAATTTTAGCCACTGTAATAGATGCTAAACACAAACCAAAAGCCGCCGAAAATCCAATAAGCTATTGCACATCCAAATGAATCCAACTCACTGTAATAGATACAAGTGAATCCGACCCAAAGCCAACAAAATCCAACAAGCTGATGTGCATACAAAGAAACCAAACCATATTTTTTGCGGTTGTGAAGAGAGGAGAAGATAAGCATACTGCGCGCGAAGAGAAGAGGAGGAAGAGGGGAAGAGTAACCGGGCAACCAGAGAAGAGGGGGAAGAGGAGGGAGAAGACTAGAGATGAGTGAACGACACCGTCGACGGGAGGGGAGAACCTTTTCACAGGAGTTAGGGTAAGTGGGGATCAGGTCAGCAAGGTAAAAAGGCACACGTGAAGAACCGACCGCGGGGTATAACCCGCGACCCACTATTTATTGATTTCTTCCTGCGTTCCTCCCCTCCACTTCACCAAACAAACGAAAACAATGACCCCAAGCCGTGCCACTTCCCCACAATTGCGCCAAATAGGTCTTCAATCTCTTGAAAGTTAAAAGCAAATCTCATCCACTCTCAGTAAAAGTTTGTCGAGGGTGACAAAATTTTGACCGACTTCAACATAGAGAGTTAATGTCATATTAAATATGTCAATATATTCACAATCAAAGTAATTGTATTTTAGTAAGGACGTGACCCGAGTCCTGTGTCAGGGTGGTTTGGCTCAATGACAACACAAATTAGCGTTTACGACCAGAGCCCTTTAATTGGGTGATTGTTGTCAAATGACACCATTATATTATGATCACGACTGCAGACTGTATGTCCCAAACGGCTTTCTATTATTTGAGTTATGAATCATAAATGTACAATTGATTGACACAAAGTCTTTTGTCAGATACAGTCGATTTAAATTTGTCCATTTAGACAAACATGCATCACAGATCTACGAGGATATCTTGGACGATGCAACCCATGACGACTAACAATGATTTCTCTGTCAGATTAGGTTGACTATCTCCTCTGACTAAGTATATCAGGGGCCACGACGATGCAACCCATGACGACCCGCTTTAAGCTTCAAGTGATAAATTTTATAATTTAAAATATTATATGTTTGCTGCAATTGTATGTTGAATTCTTAGTGACTAGCCTTAATCGAAAGTGCTCTCATGTTATCGGGAGGGGCAAAATTAATTATAGGGGCTCGCGCCTATGGGAAACCTTGAACCCCATATGAAAAAAAAATCCTCGCTAAATGAGGGCGAAATATCTTAGTAGTATCTTACCCTCCAAAGCTTTCTTTCTCAAAACAAAACTAAAATAAAATGTAGAGAGACTGAGCGGTCTTTGAATTTTCGGAGCCCAAACTGGCTGGAGTTGGGAATCAAGTATTTGATTCTTTAAATTAGTATCTACCAATTGATTACAAATAATGAAACTAGTGTTCTCATAAGGAAATACACAACACAATTTGGTGGTTTAAATGTTCATTATCTCCTGAATAGCGGTTATGAAGACGAGCATTAAGCTTTAACTCTAATCAAACAATTGCTAACCTAGCATAATTGATTAATGGTCATAATTTTAATAACTAGTCAAGGATAAAGTGCTAAAGATCAATCACATGATTCAAATACTTTTAGCTTTTGTTTCATTTATCAAAAATGGAATACCTACTTTATAGTTTTATGCTCCCTTCCGCCCAAGAAATTATTGCATCAGGACACCTGATGCAGATTTGCATCATGTGTCCAATAACAGGGGATCACGTGACAATTTGGGCTCAGTGACATACATGATTCGGGCCCAGGTTGTTGGACACATGATGCAAATGACACACGATGCAAATTTGCATCAGGTGTCCAGATGCAATAGTTTTTTCTTCCGCCCAGCCCTTGTGCTAAAAGTTAGGAGATCATTTTTGCATTTTTTTTTCATGGTAATATATAGAATTTGATACATGTAGGACACCACTTATCTTTAATCAATTTATTTATTTTCCTATGGGAGATTTTAAACTGTCTGTGCTTTTGGGGACGAAGGGCAATCCAGATGAGTTAGCGCTCATTTGCATGTCATGCTTTTGGGTATGAGAAGTATTGGCAAAGGTTTTGAATTTTATTATTCTTAATGATGTAAACTAACATGTGGCATAAAGCTTACTATGAATACTATTTATTTCACACTTAACAATTATAATTTTAACAAAGATTACTTGATATATATATATATATTTTAAATTTGCTACCTAAGTTAATAAGATTATTATATTAATTGTTAAAATTAATTATATTTTTGTTCATCCAAAATAAAAATTAAATATTTTATTTGAACTTAATTAGAGGAATAAAACTATAGAGTACGTTTGTACATATATTCCCTAATACTGATTTAGACTATATTTATTTTGTCTAAATCAGCTTTTCTTAAAAAATGTTAGTAGCCAAATATATGAGATGATTTACTGAGGTAAAATACTTCTAAATCATAATAATTTATATTTTTAATTTGTTAAAAAAAATTTTTGAGCAGTAAAAATTATAATATTTATTAATGAGTCATCGTCTAAACTTATATTATAAGCATTTATTTAACATTTTCTAGAATCCATCCAAAAGATGGACATCATTTTCATTTTACCTGTATGAGTGCATTCTGTCTTACCAATACTATATGGAATATATGCATGTTTATATAATATCTTATTTCTATTTTTTATTTAACATTTGAAATATGGTCTTCGAATTTTAAAAGACGTATTAAAAGCAGTTGCACTTGCTTTCTTAAATAAATTGAATTATTATAAAATTATATTTACCCGCCTATTTAATACAATTTGTTATCATTTTCTGTCAATCTATTCTTTTTGTACACCTATAGTTATAATTTAAACTTAATTGTATTCTATTTAGTTTAAATCATTTTTTCATATAAATTTTTAACTAAACAATTATTATTTTGATAGAATTTATTTGAAATTGGCCTAATTTATATGTATGTATGTATATATATATATATATAAATATTCAAATTACTTCTCTCCTTATAATTTCCAATTAAATAATTTAGCCATACTTTTATCTTTTTGTTATTTGGTCAATTAGTACTAACACATACAATAACACATCACATTGAAATAATTTGACTTTCTAATTTTCCAATTAATTATTTCTTTTGGGGTGCTTATAATACTAGCAACTTAATTTAAACTTTTAAACTTAGGATTTAATTTAGCACTAATTAATTAGAAAAATAACATTAAAATATTGATGTTGCATTTTGTACCTAAAATTTTATTCTTTTAAGTGTTTTTTGGCAGCCCCTATATTGATTCCTAAACAATTTTAGTAATTAGACATTAGTGATAGATTGATTTTTGCCCAAACTTGCTAGAAATAAACTTCTCTAACATTAATAATTAAAAAGCCTACTTAGTTTTTAGTTTTCAAGTTCTCTTCCTCCTTCCTGTTGCGCTGGGTTTGGGCATGAGCTCCACTAGACTGGAGTTGCAGGTGGTCGATTGCGCTCGGTACAGCTAATAGAGATCGTACCTGAATCTTGGCCGCCTCTCTCGTGCTCTGCCTCTGGGAAGCTTCTTCTCCATTCGCTTCGGTAAGTTCTCTGTAATGAATGATATGGGAAATGTAATAAAGAATGCTTATCTGATTTCTCTTCTCCTTCAAATCTTCTCTGTTCTGGTTTTGGAATATCTGTTTTATCATGTTATCAGGGCAGAAAGTTTCTGGTCTCTGATTCTTTCTTTATCTCTTCATCTATCTCTTTCTTTTCTCCTCCTTCCTCTCGGAAGACAGCCTTCCTCCTTCCCTCAAATGGATACTTCCTCTACCAATATTCCTCACTCATCATCCCATCATACCCCTACTGTTCTCAAAATAAAAGAAACCAACATACCCACCTCTCTCAAATTCTTGATGTCTCACGTCAAGACTACGATAAACCAGCAACTTTCCTACGAAAACTATCCAGTGTGGAAAATTTAGATTGAAAATTATTCATTACCCATTGCCAATGGCCTTATAGCCTTTCTTGACCCCAATACTCCAATTCCTCCCCTGTTTTCACCACAAGAAACCGATACCCAGCAAGAAACGATAGAATATTGTCTCTGGCACCTCATTCACAGGAATCTTGCTGCAGCTTTTATTTCCACCTCCTCATCCTCAACATTTCCCAACATTATACATCTCCACAGAACTGCTGAAATTTGGATCACGCTTGAGAGATGTTTTCAGTCTTCCAATCTCTCTAGAGTGATTCACATAATGTAACATTATTAGCAGAAGCAGAAACGATTCATTAACAACCATTTAGAAGATATTTCTGCAGAAACAATAGACATAATTCAATTTCAATAGCTGCAGATTCAAAGTGACAATCAAAAGAGTTTTATCAATTTGATAAACGGGCCCAAAAAACCGCAAGAAAACTGCTTCGAGCAATTGCAGCTTCAAATTAGGCCGAGCAGAAAGGAAATTTCTACATAAAGACAATTTCTGAAATTATTTTCTTGTAGAAATTTCTTTTGAAACTAAACAAAACCAATCATAAATACAACACAAAACTGGCTTTCACAGCAGAGCAGATGAGCCTGCCAAATACTAACGTACCACTCACACCCTTAATCTTACATTGCAGCTATCCTTTTGTGTTGCTCGTTTTGCCTCATCTGCAATTCTAATTTTTCTTCTGAGAATGGAGGCCAGAGAGGGGACAGGGCCACCACCCGACCAACTATGATTAAAGTAGGAGAAACTAAATTGGCCGATTTCACTTCAGAAACAATATTCTCTAACTCAGCAAACACCTGGAGCAATAAATCCAAAGTTTAGAGGAAAAATATGCAATTGTTCCTTTAAATAGGGCAGGTTTGGGTCTGATCTAACGCAAATATGTATGACTCGAACCCGAGCTGTTTATTAAACGGGTCATAGATTCTAGTTTGAACTTAACCTGAACTCAACTCACATGACCCGTTTAAGCATAACAAACATTCAGGTCAAATTAGACTTGATGGGTCAAGTCATATCCGACTTAAACATTAAAGGGGCATTTACATAAATCCTACCCAATTCCTATGTATTTACATATCTAATGAACTTTAGTTTTTTACATTTATATCACCCAAATATTTGATACCACTTAAAATACCACCGTTTTAACTTTTTAAGAGTGAAATACACAGTTTCATGCATAGGTAAGGTGGCATTGTATGTCAAAAGGGTAGTTTGGGTGTTGGACAGAGAGATACATAGAAACTGAGGGGTATGTATGTACATCTTCCAAAACTAATGTGATCGGAATATTTTGGAGTTGGGTTTGGATCTGTTTGTTGCATCAGTTCAATTTTTGACATCCTGATCATCGTAATAATTTCATCCTAATGTTTATGAAAGCAAACAAAACTATTAGTATGACTAGAAAACTAAAGATTCATAGATATTATGCTCACTGTTTGCTGCTGAGGAGTTGTCCCGCGCTCTACAGCAACAGCTGGAGTCTTAGGAGACAAGCCATGCTTCATTAACTTTGCGGCGAGGCCAGGAAGAGTAGACAAGCCCATGTAGATAACCAATGTTGATTCAGGATCTGCAGCATGTTCTGCTACATATAAGGGATCGGTGCCACCATTCCTTGAGTGACCAGTCAAGAATCTAACGCTGCAGAAGGGAAAAACAAGCTAATTTTGTAATACAAGTAAATAAATGCTTTAATATAGCCAACTCCCATAAAAAAACAAAGAGTAGACTCATAGGCAAGACCCAGAGAGCTTTTTACAAGTAATGTATGATTAAATGCATAAGACGGGCTGTCGTGAGCCAGCTTGAGCTTGCCTCGATAAGTGGCTTGTGAGCTAGGCTCGATAGCTAAGAAGCCAAGCTCAGTAGAGCTTCAACTCACCTTGTTAGCTTGTAAGCTAGCTCATTTTAAAAAAAATATACTAAAAAAATATTAAATTTCAAATCTTTATCGTTAAATTATTAAAAGTATTAAAAAAAATGATATTTATATTTTATATCAAATAATAATGAGAGTAATTTTTTAATAATTTTTGATAATTACTCGTTCTATTTGTCATTTTGTTACAACACTAGCTTGAGTTATAAGTGCTTTCTTTTTTCATAATAAACAAGCCAGTTTGTAAGCCAACTCAAACCGGTAGCTTTAAGCTTGAGTTCAAACTCGATTAATTAGTCAAGCTCAAGCCAACGCTTGCTCAAGCTCGACTTAGACTCATTTACATCTCTAGAATAAACAGATAAAATGCTTATACCTATTTGCAATGCCTCTATGTGTCAATGGGATCCCAAGTTCTGCTGCTATTCCAGAAGCAGAAGTTATACCTGCATGAACAGGATTGGTTATTAAAGTAAATTCTGAATGAAGTTTTTGCATTAATACCACAATGCATCGATTCAAGTATCTCAACCAGGAATAACTTTAACTTCTATTCCCTGTTGTTGCAAAAAATCCATCTCCTCTCCACCTCTCCCAAACACCTAAGCAAGTAGCATAATATATTACCATTGACAAAACTTGTAATCAGATTAGAAGAAAATTGTGTGAAGAAAAAGTTTTCTTCTTCTATTGAAAGTATGACGGATAAGCATCGAGAGTATATAAAAAATATTATTAATACATTGAGAAAAAAGGGAAATTTGCATACATACCATGCAATTCTTTTGTATTTACATATCTAACACCTAGACGTTCATATGTACATTTATAGCACTTTTGTGTCGTAAACCTATGCATGAAAAGGTGCATTTCACTTTTAAAAACTTAATAATAATTTCATTTTTAATCTGATGTCAGAGAATTGAGTGCTATGTATGAAAATATAAAAACATTAAGAGTTACATGTGTAAATACATAAGAATTATGATGTATGTATGTAAATGTCCCAAAAACGTAACATAAACAAAATGCTATAGAGCTAGTAATAGAGTCCAAGCAAATATACAAATATGCAAGCTTTGTAATGCCCATCCAATACACGAAATACCTACCAATTTGATTCTAAGAACAAAATTTAGGGTTTGTTTGGCTGTAGCAGTTTGAAGAAGCGGATAAACAAAAAGTTGTTCAAAAGTTACGGTGCAATTAAAAAAATATATTTTTTTTGAAAAAGTTGGCAATTAAAATTTTTTTTTTTTTGAAAAAGGTCAAACTGCTGCTTTCTAGAAGCCACACAATTCTTATGCATTTACATATCTAACGCCTAAACATTCATATTCACATGAATACCACTCAAATCTTTAACATCACATCATAAATACCACCATCCCTATCTTCTTAAAACAGAAATACACATGCGTAGGTTATGACACCAAGTGTTAAAGTGTAAATGATAAAAACCTATTAAACTTTGGGTTCCAAATATGTAAATAAATATGAACTGTGTGGTATGTATGTATATTCCCTACTTTTTTTTTTTAAGCACAGTAAAGCCCATCCAAAACGCATGAAATACCTTCAAATTTGATTCTAAGAACGAAATTCAAGCTCATCATAAGACCTAATAGCCATACTTGCAGAATCACCATAGAAATTTCAGAGAAAACTAACCAGAGGATCCCCTCCTTTCAGCCTCACAACATTGGCACCAGCCTCCGCAAAATTCAGCAGCAATTCATGAATCTCCTCCTGCAAATTAACACTCCGAATCCATCAATGCAACAAGCAATGAATCATTTTCAGCGAAAAACTAACAAATTTCTTTATTCTGAGAAACACAACAACCGCAAAATTCTATCTTGCCGAACAAAAAAGCAAACCCTAACCTGCGTCCGGCTGTGATACCCCGCAGTTTTGCCGACGTAGAGAAGCCTAGCGTTCCCATGAACTAGATTGAGCACGTCGTTGGAAACGAGCCGGTCGTAGAGAACGAGATCGGCTCGCTCTATCGCCCAAACAGCCTTGAGGGTCAGTAGCTCCGGGTCTCCCGGCCCGGTTCCGACCAGCGTCACGCTCCCCGGCCGCCCTCCTCCTCCTCCTCCTCCTCCTCCGCCGCCGCTCGACTTTTTGGCGGCTTTAAGAGTCTCGAGGAGCCGCTTGAGCTCGGGGAGCTGGAGAGCGATTTCGTTATCCTTTTCGGAAGGAGAAGGAGAAGAGCAATCGGCAGAGCCGTAAGCCCAGCTGTCCCTCCGGTATCGCTCGGAAGAAGTGCGCTCAGTGAATGGAGACGGATAGGAGGAGGAGGAGGAGGAGCGTAGAGCGAGGAAGAAGCGGTGGGGTCGAATGAAGGAGTGAGGGGGAGATTTCGTGGTCGAGCGGTGGTTGACTCCATAGAATGTTGCCGGCGAGGCGGCGGCGGCCATGGAGGAATGTGTGAAGGGTTCTCAATCTATGGAGTAATCTGAGGAGTGCAATTTGGGGAGGGAGGAATGGAATTGATGTATAAAAAATGGGGTTTTGAAACAGTGCGGCGGCAGAGTTGTTTCTTGGCGGGGGGAAGGGGCGGCGGAATGCGAAAGGCGCCTGTTTTTGGCTTGGTACCGGTTGGCTCTTGGTGGCCTCGTGGGATGAACTATCTTCTTTGCTTTGTCTATATATATATATAATTCAGGGAATATGATTACTTTTTTGGTCAACATCGATCTTACTCTTTCACCACTTACAATAGTTCAATGAATATGGACATAATTGTTTGTTCTTTTATTTGGGGAGTTGGATTTATCCTGTTCAGTTTTTATTTATTTTAGTTCTTAAAAGTTGCCAATAAAGTTTTATATATAAATCTCAGAGGTATGTTATGGATTTTGGGATGTTTTTTTGAGCAAAAAATATTCAAACCGTAGATAAAAAGTCATTCAGAACTTTGATTTAAGCAAAGTTATATTCAAATTGACCGGCTCGACAAGAAGAACTTATTGTTACCAAAATTGGTTTAATACGAACCAAATCAAGCCCAGGTTGAGCCATTAACCATTTTTGGAAGTTTCCTAGATATATTTGGAAAGTTGAGAGAATGCTGATTTTGACGAGTCTACAGTCAAATCGAGTGTCTCGACACGACAAATCCAATGAGTTCAAGTTCACTCAATTTTGATATCATTAAGACACTCAAATATTCATTAAAACTCGTTTGATCGAAGAAAGCATTTTGAGCCATTCAATCAAAGTAATTCAATGTTATTTAGGGGGGTGGGCTTAGCCAAGTAATCAACCACAATATTATTTATCTTATCAATTCTCTTGTCTATTGTAACTTTGAGAGAGAGCAAGTTTTTCAAATTTGACCAAATCGGCCAGTTGAGTCCATCGGATAGATTTTGCAGTAGTCCATACCTATTTAAAAATCCATTTGAAGTTCACAAATATCTTATTAAACATTGACAATTTCTTTCATCAACATCAAATTTGATCGACGTCATAAAACACTGCAAACTATTGCTTTCACACAACTGTTTGAAATATGAATTGTTTCATGAATTGTTTGATGTTCGAGCTCGACTGCATAATTAGAGTTGTCAAAACTATTTTTTGTTTGTGAACAGCTCATATTTGACTCACTAAGAAAATGAGTTGAACACTATGAATTGTTTGATGTTCGAACTCGACTGCATGATTTGGGTTGTCAAAACTATTTTTTGTTCGTGAACAACTCATATTTGACTCACTAAGAAAATGAGTTGAACACGAATATTTTTTTTAATTGTTTGAATTATAAACGAGTCGAACACGAACAGTGATATTTTTGAACGCGTAGAACCCGAGCGAGCCAACCCGAGCTCGCTCGTGTTCGGCTCGTTTACACCCCTACTAAGAGGCAATTTGAGATATTTTTATTTTTATTTTTATTTTTATAAATTTTATTTTATTTATTTTTTACTTGAAATTAGGCATGCTTGATGTTTGATATGTTATAATATATTTAATTATTTTTAAAACACTCAAAATAATTTTTAAATATTAAAAATATTTTTAAAACAAACTAATTTATTTTTTAAAATAAAAATATATTAAATTAACATATTTCAAAATTTATAAATAAAACACACGCACACACACCACAAGCATCCCAAACAAAGCCTAAACATTTGGTGCACAAAACATATTTGGCTCGTCTATTTGAAACAATTGACCACAAATTATTTTTCTTTTTTGCATATTAAAAATTCATCATTTATTTGCACTTCTATATGATATTGTGATATCAAAAACTTGTACATATACATATGTAATATCCGATTAAAACCTATTGAATTTTGGAAGTTGGAAGCTTTGTGCCCGATTGTATAATGTCA